TGCCGCGCATGCTCACTAGCTCCCGCGGCTCCCAGCCGAAGTGAGCTCCCGGTGGCCGCCCGCCCCCCCATCCCCCGCAGTGAGCCACTGCCTGCTCTTTTGGCTCAAGTCCCGCTCTCCTCCAGGAGTTTCTGGAATCCCCTCCCAAGGAGACTAGATAGTAAATGCGCATGGCACATTTTCTAGGGTCTGCTTCTAAGGAAACTCAAGTTAAGACATAGATGACCACAGAAAATACGGAGTTTTTTATTTTTTTGTTTGTTTTTTGGTATATTGACATCAAAAGACTTGTAGTGAGTTGGGAGGTAGTATTCTTATCCTCATTTTTCAGACGAGGAGACTCTTCTGAGACTCAGAGAGTGAGGAGTTTTGCAGAATGCATCACAGCTTTTATGAGGCAACGTGGGCACTCAGACTCAGGTATCCCGTGCTCTAACTATAGTTGTTTCTCTGGCAGAGACAAGGAAAGGTCTCCTATTCGCTGGGCTGCACCTAAGTCTCCGAGGCCAAGAGATTTTAGGGTGGTGGTGAGAGCCTGGGTGGGTGTCTTAGGGCAGGATCAGGAATGAAGGCCATGGTGCAGTGCCAGTCGGGAGGGTGCCGCACAGGCAGAGGGCGTGGCATGTGTGGCCACAGGTATCGGCCAAGAACGAGGGTGCATTTTACAGTCGAGCAAGGGTTTCTTCTACATCATTACCCAGGCCCCTGGAAGTACACTAAAACTCCCAGCCCTGCAGTGGAGGAAACTAGAGAAACCACTGTGGGGGCGAAGAGAACTTGTACAGCTAACATGCTGTGTGACTTTGGGAAAGCTACTTACCCTCTCTGGACCTGACATTCCTTTTCTATAAAAGGGGAGGCCTTGTTGTGATTGGGGGGTAGGACTTAAGAACTCAGATGGCTGTAGGGGCCCACAGGGACACCCACATGAGGAAAGAGATCCAAGAAAGGGGCCGACAGCTCAGGGGTAGTCCACAGGGCAGCCCTGCCCAGTTTCTCCTGCCGTGAGTGAATAGCAGAGGGGCGCAGGAGATGGAGTCGCTAGTCCCACCACTGCCAACTTCTCTGGTTTCTCAAAAGACAGAAATCCAAATTTGTGTGAGTCCTCTTGATGTTAAAACTTGGCAGCTAATTGAGAAGAATCACTGTGTGGGGCCAATGAAATACATCTACGTGCTGAAATGTCTCAGGCAGAGGAGGAGAGAGGCTGTTCAACATGCTGACATTCAAGGTTTCTGAGACCCCACTCTGTGCCAGGCACCTACTATGTGCCAGTGATACAGTGGTTTAGGAGACTGGCCCATCTTTGCCTTTACTTTCCAGGAAGAGTTTAAAGGGCAAGACCTCGCTGGTCCCTTGAATGCAGTTTTCTCCTCACCCTCAGGGGTCAGGGCCCCCAGCGAACAGCCTGATTTGGGTGAGATTAAGATCCATGCTTCTCACAGCCACTAGGATGGCTATAATAATAATAATTTTAAAAAAAAGGAAAACAGCAAGTGTTGGCAAGGAGGTAGAGAAATTGGAACCCTTCTGCACTGGTGATGGGAATGTAAAATGGTGCAAAACAATCTGGCAATTCCTCAAAAAGTTAAACATGGAATTACCATATGACTCAGCGATTCCACTCCTAGGTATAAACCCAAGAAATTGAAAACAGGTGCTCAAACAAATCCCTGTAGGCGCGTGCTCACAGTGGCACTATTCACAACAGTCAGAAGGTGGAAACAACCCAGATTTCCTTCTGCAGATGAATGCATAGCAAATTGTGGTTATATACACACAAAGAAATATTATTCAGCCATAAAAAGAACCAAAATACTGAGACGTGCTACAACTTGTGTGAACCTTGCAAACGTTATCTTATGCGGAAGAAGTCAGAATAAATTAATCCAAAGATACAAAAGCAGGCTGGGGGTTGCCGAGGGCTGTGGGGAGGGAGGAATGGGAGGGACTGCTTTAATGGGTTCACTGTTTCCTTTTGGGGAGATGAAAATATTTGGGGACCATATAGAAGTGGTGGGTGCACAAATGCCACCAAATTGTTGGTTTTAAAATGGTTAAGTTTGGGGCGCCTGGGTGGCTCAGTGGGTTAAAGCCTCTGCCTTCGGCTCAGGTCATGATCCAGGGGTCCTGGAATCTAGCCCCACATCGGGCTCCCTGCTCAGCGGGGATCCTGCTTCTTCTTCTCTCTCTGCCTGTCTCTCTGCCTACTTGTGATCCCTCCGTCAAATAAATAAATAAATAAAAATGGTTAAGTTTATAATGCTATGTGAATTTTGACTCAAAAGAATTTACATGTTGCAAACTACATGGAAGTGCTTTCCTAGGATGGTTAAACAAATTATAGTGCATCCAAGCAGTGGAATAATATGTGGCCAGTAAAAAATCTGAGGGGGCTGCTTGGGTGTTTCCATCAGTTAAACGTCTGCTTTTGGCTGGGGTCATGATCCCAGGATCCTGGGATCCAGCCCCACCCCACATTTGGCTCCCTGCTCAGCGGGGAGCCTGCTTGTCCTTCTCCCTCTGTGTGCTTGCTTGCCCTCTTTCTCAAATAAATAAATCTTTAAAAAATAAGACTAAAATTAAATATTAAAGGATATTTTGGGGCACCTGGCTGGCTCAATTGGAGGAGCATGCCGCTTTTGATCTTGGGGTCATGAGTTCGAGCTCCATATTGGGTGTAAAGATTATTTAAATAAATAAATGAACTTAAAAAATAAAATGACAATTTTTAAAAATCCTAGGATGTTTTAATGACATGGGTAAATGTTTGCAATGTAGTGCTAAGCAAAGAAGTAGGATAAAAATTGTATACCCAGCAGTTTATTGATTGTTAAATAAAAAGTGCACAGAAAAGAAGACTACACAAAAATAAAATATTTGTAATCCAAAAAACTTTTTTTTTCAAAGGAGTCATGCTTCCATTGTTTGTGCTTCTACCAAGTGTCACGCAGTTGAAGATCTTTGCTCTCCTGCAGTGAAGAACTAGAGACTGGGGACAGTGACCCTGGGAGTTCAGCAGACCCAGACATTCTGTCCTCTCTGACCGAGACTCCCTGGGCGATCTTTCCAGGCCTCAGTCCTCCTCCCACACAAGAAGAGAGGGCCACAGATGCCCCCTCTGGAGACCCATCCAGCCTCTTGGGGTTTTCCCAAGAAACACCTGCACCCTCCCACCCCCACCAAGGTAATACATCCAGGATCGTCCCAGCAGAATGATCTGTTGTAGTAAACACACTTGTAGTTCCACACCCGAATGTCCAGTAACAGGGGATGAGAAGTAAGATAGGATGGTCACCTGCTGGGACACTCCACTGAGAAGGAATGAACTATGTATGCCTCTGTGTCTCATCCTGGCTAGACCCTGACAACATAATGATAAGGCAAGGAAAAGAAAAATGATATTGCAGAAGAATCTCACAGCTGGATAGCATTTTTGGAGATCTTTAAAACACAGAAAAACAATTCTATGTATTATTTATGCATCCATATCTATGGAATAAATTCTTAAAGGCACAGACTGGAAAGGACTCTATTTCATGACAATGGTTGCCTTTGGGGAGGGAGAAAAACAGGACTGAGAGAGAAACAGGGTGGAGAGGCTTCGACTTTATCTGTCACTTTTAATAATTTTATTTTTTAAAAAATAAGAAGCAAACATAACAAAATGCTGACATTTAATTCTGGGTGATGGGTTCCTGGGATCTTTAGTATATTATCCCTTTCACTTTTCTTTACTTTAACACCCCCTCCCCCAACCAAAAATGAAGAAAAAGAAGGAGGAGGAGGAGGAGGAGGAGGGGGAGGAGGAGAAGGAGGAGGAGAAGAAAAGGGTGGTGAAGAGAAAGCCATTGGATAAAGGAACCAATATCTATTGAAGCCTTTCTCTGTGCTGGCCAAAGGTTACAGCAGTGGTTCTCAAAGCATGGGACCTGGACCAACAGTGATAGCATCACCTGGGAATGTAAATTCTCAGTCCTGGGCTGGACCTATCGGATCAGAAACTCTGGGGTCAGGGCTGAGAAATATGTGTTTTAACAAGCCTTCCAGGTGATTCTGGTATCCTGGAGAAGCACTGGGCTGGACCCTAATAGCTATGACAATAGTTCACATGTATTAAGCATGTATACCTGTCACATCCCGCTCCAAGAGCTTTCCATCAATTACAATATAACCTTCCAAACGGCCCTGTGAGGGAGTCGTTATTATTCCTACCCCATCCTGCAGGTGTAACTGAGGCACAAGAAGGCCAAATCCCTTGCTCAAGGTCAACAGATGGGTTGCTCCCTGAATCCCCATTTCCCTTGCATGACCCCCAGAGACTCTAGCTCACTGTAGCCTTGGAGAAGGAATAATAGCCCGTCCAACAGAGGAGGAAACTGGAATTTGGAGAGAGAGAGCGCGACTTGGCCCAAGGTCTGACGAAGTGGAAAGTGACGGGGCAGACACTGTGGTCCAGGAGGTTTTGAGGTTTGACCCAGACCTGCTGGGGATTAGCGCCCAGCGCGGGAGGAGGAGGGAGCTCAGTGAGCTGGCCCAGCTGCAGCCCCGCCCGGGTGTGGTTCGCACGTCACGCCTACGGCCAGCTGTCCCCTTCCCCACGACCGCTTCCAACCCGCTGCCAAACCGCCGTGACCCACCCCCACCAGGAACCGTAAGGGCCTTCCCCTCCGGGTGTCTGTGAAGCCCCATCCCTTCCTTCTCGTTTTTTTTTTTTTTTTTTTTTTTTTCTTCTGCAGAAAGGGAACCTGGACGGCTCCGAGAAGGGGAGGCTGGGTGGAAGTCACTCGGTGTCCGGAGCTCCCCTCCGTAGAGCTTTCCCAGGTTCGCGCCAGGGCCATCTCCTCCCCCGGCCCCTCATCCCATGGCCCCTCCGCAGCTCCCGGCACCCCCGACGGCCCCTTCGAGCCGCGCCCCAACCGGCCCTGCCCACCACCCCGTGCTCCCCCTGCAGCAAAGACCCTCGGGCGGCGCTCGGCGGCCGTGGCCGCGCCACTCACCTGGGCGCCCGCTCTTCGTCCGGCGGGCAGCCCGGATCCTCGCAGCTCGAACGCCCCCCCAGCTCAGCAGCCCCCGGGGTTCCGGGGCGCCCGTGCCCGAAGGGAGACGGGCTGACTTTCCAGAAGAGGCAAGGGACGTGCTCTGAGGGGCTTGAGAGCCTCGCGGCTTTTCCGGCTGCCCTGGCGCGGATCTGCCCGCGTCTCTACCCGCGGGCGTCTAGGCCTCTGTGGTGTGCCCCGGCTAGGACCAGGGACGCGGTGGCACCCACAGGCCATCTGGGTTTCTTAGCCGCGCCCTGAGCGATGCTAACCCCACCCCCATGTATCCTAACTCCGCCCCTGAAGACTCTACTGCTGGGACTCTAATCCCACACCCCCACCTCCCAGCACCCTAATCCCACCGCCGAAGGATTCTTTAAAAAGATTTTATTTATTTGAGAGGGAGCGAGAGCGAGAGAGAACAAGAGCAGGAGCAGAGGCAGAGGGAGAGGCGGATTCCCTGTTGAGCAGGGAGCCCCATGGGGGACTAGAGGATGCCAGGACCCAGGGACCATGACCTGAGCCAAAAGCAGACGCTTAACCAACTGAGCCACCCAGGCGCCTCCCAGGATTTTTTTTTTTTTTTTAATACCGCCCAACCGAGGCTTCTAACTCTGCCCCTAAGGATTCTAACTGGTCTGGAAGGATAACACCGCCCCTAAGAATTTTAATCCGTCCCCCAAAGATCCGAACCCTGCCCCCTCCTCCAAAAACCCTTACACCTGCCCTAATTCATTATAAACCCCGCCTCTCCAAATCCCAATGTGGTCCCCAAAGAGATTAAACCCGTCCTCCCAAGAACTGCAACACCATCTCCTTCCACAATCCTAATTCTGGATTCCCAAAAGAATCTAGATTCCCAAAGAATTTTGAATCTCACATTTGAAGGATTTTTTAGCCTCACCCAACCAAAGGTTTCTAATCCTGCCCCCAAGGATTCGAATCCCGCCAACTAAAAGATCTTCACCCTTCTCCTCAAAGGATTCTGACCCACACCTCCAGATTCATAACCCAAACACCAGGGATTCTGATCCTGCTCCTAGATAATCCCAATGTTGTTCCCAAAGGATTTTAATCCACCTTCAGGATTCTAATCCGATCCATCCAAAAATTCCAACCCTGCCCTCCAGGATTTTAACCCCTCATCAAAGAATTCCAACTGGGCCCATAAGAATCCTAACCCCTGGCCTTGTCACTCCACAGAATTCTAATCTCCCCGCTCCTGCCCCAAGCATCTGACCAGTTTTTCCCTACCATTCTAATCCACTCTTACGAGGCCAGGCCCCGCCCCCACACCACGTCCCAGGCCTTCCGGGTCCTTCTGTGGTCAGTGGTTTCCCCTCTACAGGCCCCGCGCTATTCAAATGGCGTGCAAAGTTTCTCACCCACAGTCACCGCCCTGGCTCATTCTTGGCCTGTTTCCGGCAGCTCAGAGGACTTTGAAAATTGAGGGGGCGGGATGCCCACCTGGAGGGCAACTGGAGGTCCCACATGAATGAGATGTGCCCAGGACCAGGCAAGGACAGAGCACATCTGCTCCTGGAAAAAGGGAGGTATTGTCGCACTAAAGTCTTCCAAGTACACTTCCAAGATGTGTAAGAATCTCACAGCGTTTCTGCATTCCCACTGCTACAGGCCACTTCAGGCCACTATCATCTCTTCATTCACTCATTCATTCATTCATTCATTCAGCCAGCAATACTGTACTGAGTGCAGGGATACACAGGGCTTCTTAACTTCAGTACGATTGACATTTGGGCTGCATAATTCTTTGTTGTGCGGGGCTGTCCTGGGCATAGTAGGATGATGAGCAACATTCCTGGACTCCACCTACTAAATGACAAAATTTATTTAAAAATACATTTTTAAAATATTTTTTATGTATTTTAGTGGGTAAAGGGCAGAGGGAGAGGGAGTGTAAGTCTCAAGCAGACTCCACACTGAGCATGGACCCCAATGTGGGGCTCAATCCCAGGATCCTGAGATCATGTCGTGAGCTGAAACCAAGGGCTGGATGCTCAATTGACTGAGCCACCTGGGTGTCTATTTATTTATTTATTTTTAAAATATTTTATTTATTTATTTGACAGAGAGAGATCACAAGCAGGCAGAGAGGCTGGCAGAGAGAGAGGAGGAAGCAGGCTCCCTGCTGAGCAGAGAGCCCGATGTGGGGCTCGATCCCAGGACTCTGAGATCATGACCTGAGCTGAAGGCAGCGGCTTAACCCACTGAGCCACCCAGGTGCCCCTAGGTGCCCCTTTAAAAATAATTTTAATTCCATGTTTAATTTACTTGAATGGTACTTATTCAATTCTGTGCTTCACTGTCCGTGCCCCGGACTCCATTACTGTAATTAATATTTAGCTGTGTTGCTAAAGGTCATTGTCTGCATCCTCCACAGTTTATTTTTACACCCACCTAGTCATGGACAACTAGATGGCACAAACTTCGGGCTACTATGTCCCCTGTGCACCTCTGTAAGAATTTTGTGAAGATTTGCTTTTCCAAGAACGATGGATGTGTGCAGATGGCTGCTGCCAAAATTCTTCTCCTAACATATACTTACATCTTTTAAAATTTAAATTAAATTCATTCTGGGGCACCTGGGTGGCTCAGTGGGTTAAAGTCTCTGCCTTTGGCTCAGATCATGATCCTGGGGTCCTAGGATCAAGCCCTGCATCAGGCTCTCTGCTCAGGAGGGAGCCTGCTTCCTCCTCTCTCTCTGCCTGCCTCTCTGCCTACGTGTGATCTCTCTCTCTGTGTCAAATAAATAAATAAAATCTTTTAAAAAATTAATTAAATTCAATTAGTCTTATATAACATCCAGTGCTCATTACATCACATGTCCACCTTAATGTCCATCACCAGTTACCCCATCCCCTCAACTTCCTCCCCTTATTTCCCCACATCTTGACTGACTCTTGGTATCATCCATCAGTCTTTTTTTTTTAAGGTTTTATTTATTTATTTGAGAGAGAGAGAGAGAGACAGCAAGAGCAGGGAAGGGGCAGAGGGAGAGAAGCAGACTCCCCGCTGAGCAGGTAGCCCAATGCGGGGCTGGATCCCAGGACCCTGGGATCCTGACCCGAGCCAAAAGCAGACACTCAACCAACTGAGCCACCCAAGCACCCATCATCCATTAATCTTAATTAGAGTTCCCCAGAAGCAGACCCTAGACATGGATTCCAGTGAAAGTAGGTTATCTGAGAGATGTAGAAAACCCTGGTAGGGGAGGAGGTGGATAAGATAGGACAGGGAAGAAAGCCAATTAAGAGACCATTGCCAATGAAGTTACAACTGTGGGTTCCTGGAACTCACTCCTGCTGGAGAAGGAATTCTGGAGACACTGAGGTATACCCATTTCATAGTTATCCTTCCTGGAAGATGAGGGAGCTGGGGCATTAATGTACTAACTCCCAGCAGACATTGGATGAGGGATGCTCCTGGGGGGCATTAATCCTCCAGTATTTCTGGCTGCCCCTTGCATGCTCCAGCCACCAGAAAGAGCTTCCAGGAAGAGAGATACATGTTCTGGGGACACGAGACAGTCATCATTAGCATCAGCTACACCATCTTTCACAAGTTCGTCATTCTGATGGCAAAGGACCAGACAGCTGGAACATTGTCCTGTTAATAGTCAATTCCACCTCCCCCCACCAACTTTTTTTTTTTGCTATTGAAATAATGCTGCAGTAAAAATCTATGCGTGTGTTTCCAAAGCTCCTATCAACTTTACTGGGGCATAGTTTCATACATAAAATGCACCATTAAAATATTCAGCTTGTTGAGTTTGGTAAAGGTATACACCCATGTAACCCCACCCTAATCAAGATATAGAACATTTCTAGGCACCTGGGGGGCTCATTCATTATGCTGCTGCCTTTGGCTCAGGTCATGATCCCAGGGTCCTGGGATCGAGGCCCATATCAGGCTCCCTGCTCAGCAGGAAGCCTGCTTCTCCTTCTCCCACTCTCCCTGCTTGTGTTCCCTCTCTCTCTCTCTATCTCTCTGTCAAATAAATAAATAAACAACAACAACAACAACAAAGATATAGAACATTTCTATCACTCCAAAGAGTTCCGTTGTACTCTATTGCAGTCAGCTTCTCCCCTCTCCATTGCCTTAGGTAACCACTGTTTTTGGCTTTTTGTCTATTATAAATTAGTTTTGTATTTTCTAGAATTTCAAATAAATGCAATCATACCATATGTTTCTTTTATGTCTGTCTTCTTTTACTTGCATATTGCTTTTGAGATTTTCCATGTTGTTTTGTGTTGCAGTATTTTGTTCCTTTTCACTGCTGAGTAGTACTCCGTAGTGTAGACATACCACAGTTTGTTTATCCATTTCCTTGTTGATGGACATTTGGGTTTTTTTCAGGTTTTGGTTACATGAATAAAGCTGCTATGAACATTCATGCACAAGCCTTCGCGTGGACATGTTTTCCTTTCTCTTGAGGAAATAGTTAGGACTGAATTTGCTGGGTCAAGTGAGTGTATTTTTTAACCTGATAATACCCTGCTAAATTGGTTTTCAAAGCAATTATGCCATTTTGTATCCCAACCAGCAATGTATGGTTTCTAGTTTCTCCACATCCTTGCCAATTTGGTATTGTTGTTCTTTTTATTTTTCTTTTTATTATTTATTTATTTTTTAAAGGCCAATCTAACTTTTTTTTTAAAGATTTTATTTATTTATTTGACAGAGATCACAAGTAGGCAGAGAGGCAGGCAGAGAGAGAGGAAGGGAAGCAGGCTCCCAGCTGAGCGGAGAACCCAATGCCGGGCTTGATCCCAGGACCCCAGGATCACGACCGGAGCCGAAGGCAGAGGCTTAACCCACTGAGCCACCCAGGTGCCCCTTGTTGTTCTTTTTAATTAAGAAAAATTCCCATCTAACTCATATTAGCATCAAAGAACATTTATACAATTACAAATTTACCCTAAAATGCTGCCTTACCAGTACTTGGGGTGGCAAATATTTTATCAGTTAATTCATTCATTCATTCATTCATTCATTGTCCTGGGGAATATAGCTGACCACAAGAAGTAGTGCTAAATGCTGCCTCTTTGGGATCAAACTAGAGTTCAAACTCTGGCACTGCCATTTATCAATGGAATGATCTTGAACAAATCAGATCACCC